TTAGTTATATTATTTAATAAATTATCTCAACTACGATTTTTATTCAGCATTATTAATTGATATTCATTTATAAATAGCATTAATTTGTGGGTTATTAAAATCGGTATAGTGTCTAGACAAGTCGGTTGAAAGATATCATCACAAAATCAGTCAATCGATTGAGTAGGTCAAATTGTCGATCTTGTTCACCCATCGAACGTTTCTTCTTCGATGAACTTCAACACCGTGAGATTATGTTTTGATGATTTTTATGAATGTTAAAATTACATAGATGGTTATATATGTAAGTTTTCATTAATTTTGATAACGGTTAAGGGCTCAAGGGCTCAAGGCTAACCTACCAACTGGTTGTGGTCTTGTGAAAACTTGATCGACCATTTTCTCTTCGCGCTTAACCAGAATTCTACCTTTTTGTTGATCAACTACCTAGATCTACTCAGTCACACAACAATGTCCTAGTTTTTATTGTAGCAAAGTATGAAACCGTTTCCGATCTCGGGTAACTAGTTTCATAGTGTTTCCCCATTTTTGTTATATCCTATTACACTACCGAAAAATCATTATATGAAAAATATGTTTTAGCAAAGAAAATCATTATATTAAATACTTAGGAAAAGACGGAAAATACAAAACAAATCACGAAAATAAGTGATAATAACCTCCTTCTCTTATCTGTTTTGATATACAATTTTTTCAATGTTTGGTTTTGCGGATAAGAGCACATTAACGATTTTATGATTTTGATTCCATTAACCGAACTAGTTTTAATCATACCACACCCTAGACTGCGCCCATGTGCACCCTCCAATCAAAAGGATTAAAAGCCTCTCTCTTTCACTTGGTATCTCTATCCTTCCTAGCTGCCTTCCCTTCTTATTGCACTTTCTTCAACTCCAATGATCCCTTCCATTGATTAGCACAGTTCACACTCTTCACCTCGAAACGCAACCTATAATTCCCAACCAACCAAAATTAACTTCTCTACTTACACAAACCTGGTACTTGTTAGAAACCCAAAGTAACCAACCCTCAATTTCCCTTTTGTACATCTCTCTCTCTCTGCATCTCTCCCCATCAGGAACCCCACGTATGTCCAGGGAGAGAAAAAGGGGTCATTTAGATCTAAGATTGTGACCCATCTCATCTGAATATATATAATAGTCTCAATTCACTAATGGATCCATGGTGAGAGCTCCAGCACAACCAGAATTACACATGTTCTTGAATTCACCCATGCCCAAAAGGGAATTTTGGGGAGATGGAAATATTTATTATGTATGTAAAGCGAAAACAGAGGAATGGGAAAAGCTCTGTTTTTTATTCGGTGGGGAACTTAAATTCCCCTGGCAGAGGCAGAGGCAGAGGCAGGCATATTGTAGCAATTGCAGCACTGTGCGCCTTCCTTTCTTCCTTCTCGGGCCGAGGCGAAAGCTGCATATGTGTAGATGTAGGGTTAGGCCACATTAAGTCAAAGCCGATGTTTCATCAACTTGCCTCTGTGAGTAAACTTTGGAAGAAGCAACCAGCGACTACGCCGGACCCCACGAACGTCGACTGATCCCTCTCACAGAGAAACTCGCCGTGTATTCTGGAGTAGCTGATATTACTTCAAGACAAAAAAAAAAAAGAGAGAGACAGAAAAGAGAGAGATATCTAACTAGCTAGCTAATCATGAAGTGGATGTTTGGTCCAGATTGTTTTTTCCTAATCGTCCTTAATTTGGATGATTGTGTTGCCCTACACTTGTTTGATCAGTTTGGGCTAACGTTATTGAATTGATCACCCATGGGTGAAATTTACTATTAGAAAGTTGATTTCAAAATGGAAAGAGAACTTTCTTGAGGAATGTTTGAAAGACAGGATTTAGTTTTCCTTGCCAATATGAAGAGTACACTATTTGAATAAGAAAATAAAAAAAGGAACTTTCTCAACTATTTAGGGCTAATACCACTAGCAATATAAACTTGTAACGACATTGTCGTTTACATTACGTTACTTTCGATTTGTCTTTTGTATACTAAATCGTCTCATCCATTAATTTTTTTTTTGTCAAAAGTTAACAAAAACACAGTCTGCATACACGTGGCGGCTGACATGAAAACTTATTATTATTAAAAAACTTAAAATAAATATTTCCAATGACATTCGATACGTCTTTACAGTTATTTGTTTAAATAAGAACATCAATCATTATCAATTAAACAAAATAAAGAGAAAAAAAATACATCAATCATAAAACATGAACTATTATTGGCTCCAGATACGGTGCTTAACTCATGGTTATGCACACATGAGTAACTAAATTTGGATCATTCATTCCAAAATTCCAGATCTAATGGTGGATAATTAAAAGTCCTTTTTCCCTAGTTTTCTTAATCTGCTCATATCTACTTCGTTTTAACTTGGATTTCAATTTTTTTTTTTTTTGCATAGATGGAAACGAGTTTGTTGTGCTCTACAAATGAGATCCAGTTTCAATATTTGTCGAGAAATTTTTTTTATTGCTTCTCGTTACCAACTACATATCGTATGGTATCATCTTCGTTTTGAAGTCGTTTTTGAAATAATTTTGCAAAGAAGGAACGAGTTCATGATGATCTATTGGATCTACAAATTTCTGGGCGAACAAAATACAGAACCAAACAATACCATACAATACCACCCTGGTACGTGGTGGTATCTTGTGGTACGTAATGTTGAAAGTTGTAAATGACAGTTATTAGTATACTCCTACTATCATGTATTCAACCATCCTACAGTCTTGATATGCCCATACCATCATAGTACGCATTTCATACCATATGATATGCTCTTATGACTGGTAAAAAAATGACTTTTTTTTATTCCAAAAATATGTGAAAGTGAATATCATTTTGAAGAACACAATTAATCTAATCTAATTGTGCAAAAAAATTAAATTCTGACTTACAACGAGTGAGAAATCGTTCGTTAAAGATTAAGGAGAAAAGAATTAAAGACTTTTCAAAAGAGAAAATGACCGCTGATGTGGTGGATTCTTATTGGGTTATGTATAGTTATTGACCATAAGGTTATGCACCTGATCTACTCCCACTATTATTGGCCACCCCGGGCATTTCCCTGTTCCGAGTCCGAAGCTAGTATTATGTATATAGAGTATCGAGAAGAATTTTTGTCATTCCAATAAGTTCAACCATTGAAAGAGTTCCAACACCATTATGTCCCCTATACATTACACATGCATCTGATCTCCTCGCATACAATCATGTCCGCACATAAATGTACACAAGGGTTCGTGAAAGAGAGCTTCTTCTTGGTTGGATACATGGAGATAAGAGTTGGCTAGGCGGCCATAGATTTCAAGGGTTGGTCGTTTTAATTGGTGTGTGATTGCGTGTAGCGTGTCAATGTAGCAGCAATGAACACAAATTAACGTACAAAAAAGGGTATAGCGCTTAAGCCCCTAAGCTAAGAACTAAACAAAAGCGACGCGCAAGAAAGAAATAAACTATACTAGCTAGTGTTGATGATGTGATGTAGACGGACGGACGGACGGACGGACATTTAAGCGTATAATCAAGCCATCTATTCCGGCCATGCAGGTTGCTTCATATGCTTGTTTAATTAATCGGATTTTGATTCCCTGTGGAGTAGGTGTGTATTTTGGAGCTTCCCCACTGATTTTGGGAGAGAGCTATCAGAGCTACAGCGGTAGACGGCGATCGATCATGTGACGAAGTAGCTGATAAAAGAAATTAATAATTAGTTAATTAAACACAATAACGTGGGATACCTAGAGTGTATGTGTATATGTATAGCCTAAACTCGGCTCTGCCCTCTGGCATCTAAGGTTGAAAACATGCACCGTCGGAAACAGTGAGATGTGGTGGAAGAAGCAATTTTAGAAGCAATCTTATCCAATATTCATCCTACCAGACCTCTTAAGCAAACTTGCCTTGTTTATACACTAAAATGTAGCATAAACTCGCCCTGCCCTCTGGCCTCTAGGGTTGAAAGATGCACTGTTGGAAACAATTAGATGTAGTCAGGAAGAAGCAGTTTTATTTGCCAGAAATGAGAGGGTACATGAGTAAGCAGCAGGCACCATTGTGGGAGACCTGCAGGCAGTGATTTGATGGGCATTGGGCAGTAGCTAGCTAGTAACTAACCATAATATATACAGTGGATAAAATGTGGGGGAAAAAAAGTAGGAGAAAGCCTTGTGGTAATTCTTTGGATCCAGCTGGTAGTAATAGTGCTGGCCTTGCATTGCATGGAGTTGATGTGTCATTTTTTGGGCATGTAGCTGAAGTGACCTACTGTCAGTTTCTTTTCTAATACTTACATAACATATTCTTTGATGGACCACAGGATACAATTGTCTTTCCATAAAAAAAACGATCTGTCTGAAGGGCAACAGTCAAATTCATATCCCGTCTGGCCACCCTGTCTCTCTCTCTCTCTCTCTCTCTCTCTCTCTCTCTCTCTCTCTCTGAGCTTTTCCCTCGTCGCCTTGTATATTGTAATGGATACATAGAATAGGAAGGAAGGTTTGGGCTTTTATTGTTTGGTAACTATGCAGAGACTAACAGTGGGGAAGACAGAAGGACGAAACTCCTGGTTTCCTTGCTATTTTGGGCAAACAAATGAAGAAGCTCGCATGCACAAATTTGGTTCCCTAGCTCATTGATTATAACCCAACCCCTGTGCCAGTTGAAGTTATTAGGCCCTTCTCCCAGCTTCACTTAATTAGCTTGCAGTAGTAATTGGCTCTTCCCAGGAAACATCAGTTAGTTAATTAGATTAGATTAGATTAGCCTGCGCTGCAGGAAGCCGCTAGAAACTAGAATCAGAAACAAAGAAACGGGGAAACGAAATAAAACAAGAGAACAGATTTAAAACTAGTAAACTACTAGTCCTGGACGTGATTAATTTCCATCATGATATATAATATTATATATGTTAGAAACAGTAACATGGTAATGAAATGAAGTAGAAGGTAATTAAAGCCACAGGCATGCTCAAAGCCTAAGCTCAAGATCCAAATCTGTGCACATCCCCATCCCCTCCGACGCCGCCCCCATCGACAGCGACAATGTCGTCACCCCCGGCGAATGAGTAGTAGTGGTGGCCGCCGTCGTCTTCCGCCTCTTCCCACCGGCCAAAATCGCCTCAACATCGTTACAGCAATGACCGCTCAACTCATCGCCGCTACTACTTTCCACAACGTTGACCATGAGTCCAAGATCCAGCCAACCTGCACACTCGTTGTTATTATTATTGCTGGCGGTGGTAATTGAGGACGAGGAAACCCTAGGGGAGGAGTTCGTCGTAGCAGTAGTGGCGGCGGCGGCGGCGGTGGTGACAAGATGGTCGTCTTGGTCTTCTTGTTCTTCGTCGTGGCACTGTTGTTGCTTGAGACGAGCGCGGTCCCGGCGGTGGACGTTCATGTGGCCGCCGAGGGCTTGGGCGGAGCGGAACTCGCGGCGGCAGAAGCTGCACGCGTAGGACCTCGGGGGCCAAATGCAGCCTCCGCCGTTGAGGACGCTGGAGGCGTCCTCCGCGAAGGCTCTCTCTTCCCAGGTGGTAGCGGCGGCGGCGAGGAAGTGGGTGGTGCGGTGGCGCTTCATCCACATCCATTGCTGGGCTTGGTCCGTGCTCGACCTCGTCATCACTTGATGGCCGCTTGATGATGATGAGTACATGATGATGGAGAGAATTTTTCTGTGTCTTGGTGGTGAGACTTTTTTTTGGTGAAGAAAGTCAAGAGGGGAGAGAGGGTATTAATAGAGAGAAGAACCGGAGAAAGAGAGGGATTGGCCTTCTGCTGATTTTTTTTTTATTTCATTAATTATTCTCCTTTGTTTTGCTTTTTCTTTTATGTTGACAAATTCAGTCTTCTTTAACTAGTATGTTTTAACTAATTGAGGAGATAAGCTACTGACAGACCCATTTTGGAGTAACAGTAGTCAAACACTAATTTTTGTACTTAACGATTAAACCTCTCTAATCTCTATGTGCAATAGGTAAGCACCTGTTCACAGGTTAAATTTCTCGCTATCTACGATTATTAGATGCACACAAGAATTGTTATATATATGGTGACTACTTCGGTGCACAACTAGTCTTAAGGGGTCGGATTTTGAATTTTAATTTGTAGAATTAGTGTAATATGATGATATAACATATGATAACAACTAATTAGTGGATTACCCTAAGTCCTAGACCTCCAATTTTGAGTCATATCCCTAAACCCCAAATTGTAAACCCTAACCCTAGATCTCTAAACTCTAAATCTTTCAAATTAAAGTAAATCTTCAATGAATTTTGTGCAAATTCATGTCGTTATTGTTCATCCCATCATAAGTGACGATTGACATCATTTTGACATAAATCGCATGTTTAAAATGACAGTTTTGAAGTGAGTGCACTGAATACACCCAAAAAAGTGAGTGCACCGAAGACGCCACCATATAATGAAATTATATATATACTTTCAATTCAACGACGCATGTTCGGATCTCATAACATCCAACTTAATAACGTAGGTTTGTACTTGTACCAAAAGATGAAGTGATAACATTATCGAATTGGCATTTAAATATGTTTCATAACACCCAACTGTCAATACTATATACAAGATTTAATTTGGCTGAATATGAGGGAGGTGTTCTGTTGACTGCATGGCCTACCTCATTAATAAAACTAAACTATAAACTAACGTTTAATTAAGTTGGGACAATTGGAGGACTAGACGTCGTCGACCTTGGAAGCTTTTACCAAAACTATGGCAAACGTATAGTATACCCTTCATAATGTCAATTAATATATTTATTTTTTTATGAAGCAATTAATATATTTTTTTAAATTGACTTCCTTAACTATATTGAATCATCTTGAACTTTTCCTTCTTTTTTTTTTTTTTTTTTTGGAAAGTCTTGAAGTTTTCCTCGCTGATAGTTTCTTTCTAGGCTTACATTATTTCCATTCGAGTAAGAATAGTTAAGATTCAACTACAATTGTAAATACGTCATATAATGCTAAGTTGCTAAAGTAGTAAAGGCCGTTTTGTCACATTCTATGGCGCCAGATAGATAGCTAGGGAAAACAACAGCTATATATACTAGCTAGTGTAACATAGTATAATACTAATATATTCTTGCGTGATGACTAAATCAGACCCAGACAAACTCTTGTGAAGGAGGAGGAGCTTTGCTGAGACACATGGAATTTTGATTTGTACTGATCATTACGTATAATATAATTTTAAAAAAATGCTAATCGTGATGATTAATCAAAGATTGATCATACATACAACTACTTGAGAACAAGATCTAACGTCTTTGTTTCACTTTTACTTACATATATGAGATTGTTTTTGTTTTTGCTTTGGGAGAGGTTTGCTAATTGTATGTCTAGTGATTGTTAATTAGAATCTGATCTCTAACACTAATTGATGTCTATATATCCTTGTCAAAACCTGAAAGTCAAACAAACAATTCTACTTCATTATATTAAACATATAACCTCTTGAACATGAACTTTATGTTGGTAAATCCATTACGTCAGGTTCCAGTTCTTACAGTCGAGTTGGAGTGTCTTCTCGTTATCCAAAGGTTGTAAATCGGCGACTATATAATCATCTAAAGTGCAGATGTCGCATCTATGTGGTGAAATTCTAATGGAGGCGATAAGGATTGGTGGCTTTGAGTTTCTCTCTTTTGCATGACAAGATTTGAATAGATCGGCCCATTTAATACAAGAATAGATCAATCTTAAAACACAAAGCAATTTTATTCTTTTTGGATTATTGCCGCTCTCAAAGTTAATTAAAACATTCTACATGGTAAATAAATGCATTTGTTCCAACCCCACATTACCAATGTATACTTTGCTCGAGCTTCTTTTGCTAAGCACATTGACTATCCTATAATATTGCAAAAAAATGTTGCAAGTTGCACATATGGTGGATTGGATATACTTGCGAAAAGCTTCAAGAGAATGAGACCAAACCAGCTCCACTGGACTAATTAAGTAAACTATGCATTATTGTTTATGATATAATTATTAGTTGATAATGCCAATCTCCAATTAAGTAGGGCATGGGGGATCAAGGAACAGCCACCAAAATTAACTTATTCGATGGATGCAATGAAGTTGACAAACAACAAAAGTCTGTCCTAAACTAAAATTTTAATTATTGAATGGACTCAAATTGATCATAGAACTGGTTTGACCTGGTAGTTACACACATATTATCAAGCATCCAACTTAAACTGAAAGGGCACCAGCTTGGAGTTCAGCTTTTCCCTGTATAGTTCTCTATTAATATAACCATCTTTTTTTTTTTATTAATATTTGGTTTCCCATTACCTTTGATGAAATAGAAGTATAGAAATGTGCTGTGCAGAGCCAAAGAGCACGACAAAGATCCATATGCCGACACCTTCTTTCTTTTCTCCCAACTTCAAAAAAAGTTGACAATGATTTGTGTTCGAAGGAACATGGATTGGAGCGAGCTGGCTTCGTCTTGGATTTAAGTAGTGATTAGTGATTAATTTTTTTGTGATTGACTTAATTAATGTAAAAATGAGACGTCCATTTGGCATTTGCTTATGGCAATGGATCACTCAGTAAGTAGTAATTATGCATTCTTTTTTCTTCCTTAGCATAATTGCGTCTCCAGAACTAGAAGCTATGGCGGGAGAGCCGGAGAAGGACTAACGTGTCTTCATTAATTGTTACGGCGGGATTTGTTTTCATTTCTTTTCGAGAAAATATTTTTTAACCTACAACCAACGTTAGGCAATTCACACAAAAGGTTCAAATCTGTTAGGAAATTGGATCAATTTACATCAAATAATAGTTAATTAACCAAGGTAATTTTCTTACTTCTTTGTTTCGTCACCAACTTCGAGAAATCACCAGAGTTCATCCATCAAACTGGGTATATCAAGCAAAACTCATTTTCTTCTTTCTAATGGTTACGGCAAGATCAAGAGATTTTGTATTTATTTGACATTCTCGCGTGGGTTTAATCTGACATGCTAGAATTTTGTTTGTGCCTTCTTCTTTCTTTACTTTTGTTGTGAATTTTGTTGGACCAGTATGGTCCACTATAGTTTAATTTGCAAAATCAAATTATTGCTATATTATTGAGAGAGAGGCGCCATCAAGCTACAGACATCTGCCTCAAATTTGTAAATCCCGTGGACTAATGTCCGCTAAGACCAACTTACAAGAAACCAATGATCCCTTTTTTAACCACTTGCTTCAAAACCGACGATATATATGTTCCTGATAACAATAAAAAAAAAACATAATGCGTTTTCAAACAATTCCAAATGCTTATTAAAAAAAAAAAAAACAAATGCTTAACCAATGGAAGAATAAGACAGTCACAACGTACCCTTTGATCATATCTAGTCATCATTGACTCTTCCAACTACAGTTCTTACCTGACATGCTCAAAAGTTTTCATATATATATATATATATGGCGAGTTCTACGGTACCCTGGGTGAAATCCGGGGTACCGCATACCTTGAGTATGAAAACACTATCTAGACCTTGAATTGACCGATCTTTCGGACATGATATTATACTCTAACACTTAAAGATCAAAATCTAGGTGTTAACTCTCCCAATCTTATACTCCAAGATTAATTTAATTAGAAACAATAATCGACGGTTATGATTCATCCAAATATAGGCACAAAAAGGAATGCACCATCTTAGGGTTTATAGATTATGATTTAGATAATTATGACCTACGGTTCACTCATTAAGGGTTAGGGTATAATATCAGACACAAAAATCCTGGTAATTCAAGGTCTAGATAGAGTTTCCATACTCGAGGTATGCGGTACCCTGGATTTCACCCGGGGTACCATAGAAGCCACCATATATATATATATATATATATATATATATATATATATATATATATATATATATATATATGGATACGACTCGTATGCGTCAGACACATACTATGCGACATGATTCTCCACCGTAGATCTAATCTAACGGTCATTATAAATTATGATAAAATTAATAATAATAATTACTTCTTGCACCCCTTAAATAATTATATGTGCTATGAAGTCCTCTAATAATGATTACCGTTATGTTTTCTCGTATAATACCTTATTTAGTAAAGATTTGTAATTCAACACCCAAAAATTAAATAAGTTATAAACAAAAGTTCCACGAATTAATGAATCCATAACATCCCAATTCGACTATCTAAAGGCCATACGTCACCATCAGTTCATCCAAACTAACCCATAGCTAACCCTAAATTTGACCATCATCATCAAAATCCAACAACCATCGATTGGATGCTCCGACGTAGTTTGGATGCTCCGGCGTCGATTTTGGAATTCCCACGGTTGAATAACGAGGTTGAGTTGGGGCTGTCACGATCCAACAACCATCGATTGGATGCTCCGACGTAGTTTGGATGCTCCGGCGTCGATTTTGGAATTCCGACGGTTGAATAACGAGGCGAGTTGGGGCTGTCACGATTGGTGAAGTCATTGATACGGCCGCGGGAGTTCGGTTGGAATTCGATCTGGGCAGGGGTGGGATTCAACGTGTTAACCTGGAGAGGGATTTTGGTGGGAACGTAGGGTTGCCGGAGAGGAGAGACGATGGTGGATTACGGTGAGGTCGGTTCTGGTGTAGTAACATGGGATCGCCGGACAAGAGAGGCAGCGGTGGGATGGTGACGCGGGGTAGTCGGAGAAGAGAGACGGCCGTCGGATTACGATGTCGACGGCAGCGATTGGTTGGGGTGTCGAGAAACGCTGAGTCGTAGACGAAGATACATTGAAAATGTCGTCGTTTGAATAGGGCGGCAGAATCGAGAGTGGCCCGAGGAACGACGTCGTACAGAGAAGTGGGTGTTTTAAGTTATAATTAGAAAAAATTAGGTACAAAATATAAAAGGATATGAAAAGATATGTATAGGTACTAAATATTACGTATGAAAAAGTAATGAGACCAACTAATTATTTTAATATTGTAAATAATAAATTAATTAATTAGTATTAATCAATGTCGTTAGATTAGATCAACGGTGCATAGATCCTGTCGCATAGTATGTGTCTGACGCATACGAGTGTGACCCATATATATATATATATATATATATATATATATATATATATATATATATATATATATGGTTATGTCTTCGGTGCACTCACTTTTTTGGGTGCATTGAATGCACCCGCCTCATAATCGTCATTCTGAGTAGGCGATTCATGCGAAAACGATGACAATCATCCCTTGTGGTATGATGAACAAGAACCACGTGAATTTGTACAAAAATCATTCAAGATTCTCTTTAATTTGAATGATTCAGGGTTTAGGAATTTAGGGTTAGGGTTAGGGTTTACAATTTGGGATTTTGGGTTTAGATTCAAAATTGAATGTTAATAGGTTAGGGTAATGGGTTGATTAGTTGTGATTCTGTGTTATGTCATCATATGAGAGTAATGCTACCCATCAAATTTCAAAATTTAATGTATTATGACCACTTTTAGAGGTGGGTGCACTGAATGCACCCAAAAAAGTGAGTGCACCGAAGTAGCCACTATATATATATATATATATATATATATATATGGATGAAACTGGTGTATTCGTAGAGTATGTAGACCATAGATTATACTATATTTTGGGTACTGCTTGTAATCTATTTCTCTCAACATAATGAATTGAAATCAGTTTGAGATACGATTTCATATCCTAATCTATAATGGATAAATCTCAGTATCTGATTCACTAAATTCAAAATAAAAAATCAAGCTAATAAAAAATAATGGTATACTCTACGAGGTATAACGAAGTAAATCCAACGATCAGATCACTTGAATATGGTATACTCTACGAGTGCACCAATCGTTACCGTATATATATGATCTTATCGTTTTCTTTTTTATTTAATTACGTTGGAAAAAATACGGTTAGTATTCTTCCCATAATTTAGGCCTTGATCTTCCTCAACTTGGTACAGGAAAAAAAAAACAAATTTAGCCAATGAAACTAGGTTGCCTTAATTTTTATTACAGTACGAACTTATTTTAAGAATATGCAAAGCCGCTTCAAAACTGCTACTTAATCGCAAAAAACAAGCAGAAGTCTTTCTCTAGACTCTTTCCTAGGCTCGTTTTTTTTTTTTTTTTTTTGTGTGTGTGTTGATAGTGAGAGAGTTATCTATTTTATTATTATTAACCTTGATTTGTTAATATATAAGTGCCGACCAGATAGATAGAGTGATTGATGAGGAGGATAACTTAGGACATGACACTCAAGAGACCTAAACCAATATGTGCACTAATCTAATCTAATCTGCATGGAGAACTAGTTGTGATTATTTAACTCCTTATTTAGTGAAATTAATCCTCAGAATCGATTTCATAGGGTTGAAACAATTGGCGCTATAACATATATTATATATATTACAGTAGGGCTTAGGGTGGGATAACCAACCTAGCTAGCTAAAAATTAATTAGAATGCTCACATGAGATCGAGAACATAATTTCATGAGGTAAAGATTAGCGTACGCTTGGTGTATGGTACATGTATGCGTTTTTATCATTTTTCATGTACTTTGATTGACTTCGACGAATCAAAACTATTAACTATTATTTTTAGATTAGATAAAAATTTTTATAGTTTAAATTTTTTATCATTTTTCATCCATTAACGGTTCACGTAGTATATTATCCTGTCTCAATCCCCGGACAGACTCCAATCTGAACGATTTAGGTTTAGACGTTTAGCCCAGATAATTCTCTTTATATATGGAATTTAGTCCAGATATTGCAAACTAAAGCCTACTCATCTTTTTCCATATACTAATACTACCATGCCAAAGTTATACCAGGGCTATTTTTTTAAGGCAAAGGACTGACCCAGTGTTGATAAGGGCCGGAATCTGTATGTGCTTGGCCAGGCCAGGCCACGACCAAAATTGAATTAGGGAAGGCGGCCCAGGATAGGCCCAACGGGAATCCAACTGGGGGATTGCCTATTACTATTACGGTAGGAAATTGGATAGATGGGCCCAGGACGGTTAAACTTAACCAGCCCGAGTGATGATTCTGGCAGGCCGAGAATGAAGGATAGGGCCCGTTTCGCTGATTTCTCTAAAACATAGTGAGATAATGCTGCGAGCATTTTTGGAAACTGTCAATCGCCATCTTACAATTACTGATTTTTGGAAACTCCAAAATACAATTGCTCAATGCAGTTAGGATACGATGACAGATGAAGTTTCCAAAAATAAGAAAAATGTTCATGGAGTGAATTATTCACTCTGAAAGCATATTGGTTAAACATCTAACTTCTGAATTCACGTTACGAATTGTGTGTTTTGATTAGAAATTCGCGTTGATTTTATCGGTTTTCTCTGGAACAACAGTAATAAATGACAATAATAACTCTTGTTAGGATTTACAATTTACGAGGTTAAAAAAACTTACCAAGTACGTTGCAACCCACCGATAAGATCACATTGGGGGAGATAAAGAAGTAAGAAATTAATTTTCACCAAAAATAAAAGAGTAAGAAATTAATACTGAAACTTCCATTTCAACATAGTTCCAATTTTGCAATCAATGTCCTTTCACGGCAATCTCAATTTCAAAAGCAATTAAAAAAAGGGTTTTCGTTTTCCCCAGGAAAGGCTCCGAACTCCTGACCCGACCCAACAGCGACGTCATAAATATAATCATCCTTAAATAAACCAAACCAAAACATACATCTGTATGTGTGTGTCTGTAACCGCATTGCCATTCCCAAATCGGCGCCATCTTCTTCTTCCTCCTCTTCCTCCTCTCCCAATCTTTACGTGAATGTTCTTATCCCTCCTGTTCTTCAATCCAACGCCAAATAATCGTCGAGAATCGGTTTCAATTGGGTCTTAATCGTGTTCTCATCATCCCCGCAAACCCCAACATCAAAGGTGGGGTGCACACAATTCAGATTCAATAATGATCCACAATCGGCTGCCGCCGACCCCGACAGCGACGAAGCACAAGGCCGACGACAAGCCGTTTCAATTCATCTCCATCGTCGGGAAATCCCTCATCCTCCTGTTCATCCTGTCCTTCATCTCAATCGGCCTCTACACCGCCTTCTACGACCCCAAGAGCGGCGGAATCACCCCCACCGCCGCCTTGCACCGCCTCCACTCCTCCATCGCCCGCAACAACGCCGCCGCCGCCGACCACCGCCGTCGGGACCCTAATAACAACTCCCCGACCAACCTCTCCCACCTTCTCTTCGCCCTCAGCGGCTCCAACGACACGTGGGACGACCGCAGCAAGTCCAATTCCGTCTGGTGGTCCCCCAACCGAACCCGGGGCTTCGTCTGGCTGGAGGACGACCAGCGACCCGACTCCTCACCCGCCCCGAACTCCGCCCCGACCCGGGTCTCCTCGCCCGAATGGACCCGGTTCGGGTTCTCCAGCTCCCGACCCGCCGTCCGGATCGCGCGGACGATCACCGACAGCTTCGGCCTCAAACTGCCAGGTGTCCGGTGGTTCGTGATGGGCGACGACGACACCGTCTTCTTCCCGGAGAATCTGGTCTCCCTGCTGGCCAACTACGACCACAACGAGATGTGGTACATCGGCGGGAACTCCGAGAGCGTGGAGCAGGCCTTGATGCACTCCTACGAGATGGCGTTCGGCGGCGGCGGGTTCGCCATCAGCTACCCTCTCGCCGAGCTCCTGGTGGAGAATCTGGACCGTTGCCTCGAGCGCTTCCACTATTTCTACGGCTCTGATCAGAGGATCTGGGCCTGTATCACCGAGTTAGGTGTGGGCCTCACCCCTCACCGTGGATTTCACCAGGTACGTTCCGTCTTCTCCGCTCCTCTTGACACGTGTCCGAACTCTCTCTGTTTTTTAGCTTAACTGCGCCTTGGTTTGACCGTGGTTAAAAGTTGGGTAAGTCGGAGTAAAATCCGGTAGCATATAAAATTTAGGTGGGAATTGACACGTGTGAGAACATCGGGTATCTGTTCTTCTTTGGCTTAACCTTTTGGGGGGCCGCCAGCGCCACAAAAAGGCCATCAATCGTGCCAGAGAAGTTAAAGCGATTATGGATGTGCTATAGTTTTGGGAGGGGACGTGGCAACAGCCGATTGAACGGGAATTGTTGTTCGTTGGCCCATTCCCCGTTCAAAATACGCTCCCTCTTAACCATAAGTTAGTTGACGTTATTCTCGGGAAAATAGACTTATGACTCATCCTCCTCCCACCAATGACTATATGGGACAATGGACTTGATAATTTTGCCCATACTCATGGGTATTTTACTATCCAATCTAATTGGGTTGGGTATGAAATCCAAATATATGGATATGGGTAAAGTTTGATAAGTTTGTACCCATACCCATTTACTTTGGGTTGGGTTGGGTTTCTAACAAATGGATTTGGGTTTGTACCTATGCCCAAATACAAATTACAGTTTGGTACCTAAACTTAATAGATGTGCATATTTAGTACCTAAATTTATTTTTTTTTGCATATAAGTCCTCAAAATATCGATGGAAAATTACGTTTTGGTACCTAATTTTTTTTGGTCTTACATTTTGGTACCTAAACTTTTCAAGTTTTACAAATAGGTCCAATTTTTGCATGTGTAGTTAAAACACCTTCAAGTAAATGGATATCCATATCCAACTCATACCCATTTAGATAATATCCATATCTAACCTAAACTCATACACACATCACCCAAATCCTACCCATAATAAATGGGTCTACTTGGGTTTGGGCAAAATTACCCATGGGTGGGTAAATTGCCATCCCTACTTGAGACTAATCTCGAGTAAGTCAGCCAAATTAACTTCTTTTTATAATCTTATCATCAATTACATTTGTGTTAGAGTAAGCTTAGGTGTTTCGGTGGTAAGTATGTATTTGAAAATACAAGTATTTCAAAGCGTAATCCTGTATTTCATACTTCAAGATATTACATTTTGGGTTGTAAGACTATAATGAATCCTTGAAATCATTGATTTTACTCAAAGATGGTGTGAATACGCGATACTACGTATTTAAAGTTGTAACATCACATAGGGACCGATAGAGCCACACAAATGTTCCCGTTGTTTAGGGATTTAAAAATGAGCGGGCACATGAAAGAGGGGCCTGCAGAGTTAAAGCAGGCAATGATAGTGTCCTTATTTAATGTACTATGTTTTCTGTCCTCCATGCACGTTCAACCATCAAACATAAACAAAAACAGTCCTTTATTAGGACCATCATTCACGCACTCGGCAGTGGACACCTAGAAAGTTAGAACAGGGCAAAAAACAGAAAGAAAAAGGTTTCTTTAAATCCTCTGCTTTTCATCTTTCTGGGTTGTTTGATTACAGTTATTACAGCCAGGTAGGTTACTTAACAGAGTTGGTCACGTATTTGTACTCCACCGTTTCCTTTACTGACCTTATGGTGTTTGATCAAATTACCTTTGTACACAGATGGACATCAGAGGGAGTGCATATGGGCTACTGGCAGCGCACCCAATGGCGCCATTGATCTCCCTGCACCATCTCGGCGCAATGGACCCACTCTTCCCCGGTCAGGACCACTTGGCCTCGGTGAGGACACTCTACCGGGCGTATAAGGCAGACCCTGCTAGGATACTGCAGCCATCCTACGGCTACGACCACCACCTCAACTGGTCGGTCTCCATCTCGTGGGGCTACACCGTCCAGCTCTACCCGAACCTGGTGGCTGTCCACGACCTGCAGGTACCGCTGCAGACGTTCAAGACGTGGAGGACTTTCAGCGAGGGTCCGTTCACGTTCAACACGAGGCCCACTGGGCCTGACCCGTGCTCCATCCCAATCGTGTTCATGCTCGACAAGGTGCAGAGCATCGGGACGTGGGGGACATTGACGGTTTACAAGAGGATGGAACCGGCGGTGAAATGTAGGAGACCCAACTTCATTCGGGCTATGTCGGTGCACAGAGTGGTCATCTCGTCCGTTGTAATGGAGCCAGATTACTGGTCTAAGGTAAGCTCTCTGTACATTTATACAGCATCGTTGCGGATAACGTATGGCATACAATTACGTGGTCAAGAATGAGTGTTTTGATTTGGTTTTCGGATTGCAGGCGCCAAGAAGGCAATGCAGTGATCTTGTGAATGGTGGTGGAAGAATGAGGGGTGAGACTCTGCAGATAAGGGTTAGAAGGTGTGGGGATAGGGAAATTGTTAGCACTGTAGAGTAGACTAGAGGCGGCAAGCTGAGTTCTTTCGTGGGCAAATGGTTGTTCGGAAAGAACAGATGAAGCGACGAAAGGAGAGTAGGGTGAATATATAGTAGAAAAATTATTAATAAGAGGTGCTCAAATGTGTAGAATTATAGCAAACCAATTGTGCTCCAGATTCATGGAATGTGGAAACAGTAGCAGTATAACTATTCACCCAGTTTCCTCCCCTGAAATTGTTACTGGACAGACAGGTGCTCAATGACTGATGGCTGATATTGGAAAGGTGGAAAGGCAAGCTTTTTCTTGCATCTTTAAAACTGTTCTTTTTGCTGCATCATTAGTTTACTTCACGCCCACCAAATATGGTGTTGTGTTGCTTTACCTAAAGTGATGGCACTAAGTCGAAAGTATTCACCAACTAAGTGGAGCATTTAGCATTAGAATTAGAACAAATAGATTTAAGACGCAGATGTGTCGGTGCAAAGATGTTTGCCATTTCTTCAGCCATGTTCTGGCATATGACGTCAAGCATCCCAATATGATCACAAATCACAATCAGCATATATTCCCCCCAGTTCGAAATAGTGCAGTATAATGTGGAACGGCACAGTTTTAGTTGGTGATCCTGAGATTGAGTTGGAAGGGATGAAGATGCAGGGAGAAATTTGGTTGCAAAATTGAATTAAGGTATTTGTACGTGAACTTGTGAACTAGTTACACAAGTTGATGGCCAAACCTCAGCTTAAAGGGTGGAAATTTGCAACTCTTTCTATGGTGCCGATAGATGGCTGATGCCTCCTTTCCAATGTGCTTCGGCAAGGAGTACTAGTTGCAAAGCAATGTCTCTCGTGTTGCATTCCCAGTTGTTGGATTCACCCTGGAAGAAAGGGACTTAAGTTCATTGCAGACACAAAAGTACAGAACAAAACTAGTGCAGAAGCATCACGAAATGATTTCATATTTACCCATCTGCAACTTTGCAAAGATATTCTCGTTGATCTTCCCGTAGAGGTACATCTGTGAAATCTGATAAGCGAAGGACATCGTCATTAGTCCATCGACTTAAACAGACACTAAAGATCTGATGACATGATGTGACCAATCCAATGGTGCCGCATACCTGCTCCTGTTATATTCGAGCCTCTAAAAGAAGTGTTGCCTGTAGCTAGTGCGCCTTCCAGGTTAGCATTGCTCAAATTCACCTGTTAACCCATTTCCAAGTTGTTAGCCACAAGATTCTCAGAAGGACAAAGCTGAAATGACTGGTTGTATAAAGTGAAAGATTTAACCTTTGTGACATTGGCCAATGAGAAATCCGCAGATCTAAGGTCTGCATCCGAAAGATCAGCCCCTGTGTTTTCCCATCCAAGAACAGTTAAATTAAAACATGATCATGGTTTCTACAACGACCCAACAACAAACCAGCATTCGGAGACATCTCTCCGGGAGCAAACTTTTACCTGTCAAGTCAGCATCGAAGAAACTAGCACCGAGCAACTTTGCACCTTTGAAATTTGCTTGCCTTAGAATCGACTAGACCAACGTAAATAAACAAAAGCCCATCAATCAAATAGCAGTTCCAAATTCTCATCTCAATGGGGGGAAACATTTCAAAACAAAACAGCAGCAACGAAATTGTACAGTTTTGAAGTCCTGCTTGATCAAAGTCTTGCCGCTGAAATCCATGCCCGTTAGATCCTGCCCTCTCGTCACTCCAGCGCCGTAAGGCCCTCCTCCCTGCATAAACACCCGCATTACCAAGTTACAAGCTAATTCACCCTTCTCAAACTCCCAAATCACAGTATTTAACCAGGTTTACTTCACCTTGTAAGCGAGAGCTGGGTCAGATAGGAAGACAGAAGCAGATAGCACCGCAAGCAAACCTGTTTTAGCCAAGTCTCGTACAACCTGATGGAACAAACAAATCGGGAAACAGGGGAAACCCCAATTGGAATTCGGATAGGAAAAAACAGAGGAAGCAGAGTGGTTCCCGGAGGGAAGTAGAAAGGGAACAATCGAGACCTGGGATCGGGAGGGAGAGAGTGAAACTGACGCTGGAGGAAGTTTCGGAAGGAGGGGAAGAGCTGGTTTCGTTTGGATTTTCGCCGAACAGAGAGAGTTGTTCAGGAGAAGAACACCCATTTTTCTTCTTTGCTCCCCCGATTTCCTAACCTCCGAAAAGAGCTTGAGCAGACAGCAGAAGCAGAACAGAGAGTCTCTCGCTCTTCTCTAGAGAGGGAATTTCCAAATGGATAATGATTTGTCCTTTCGCGACTTAGGTCGTGCCACGTGGGTATTGTTGGGGAAAACTTTGCTGCCTTGGGCTCGTGAATGAAGGAAGAAGGGAATATCCAATATCGGCCCGTGGTAGAAAAAGTAAATAAATAGCCCACTGGTTTTGTTGTCTTTTGGGCTTGGTTATGTTTATCAAAACCCTGTCCAGTCACTTGTTGCTGGCGATTTTTCCTTTTTGTCGGAGCTCATTCCTCTACCAAAGACCTTTGACCGTTGTACACAAAAAGAAACAAATACCTTGGGTGAGTAGATGGGCTAAGAAGGAAACGAAGCCAACTAAAATGCAAAGCGGTGGCCTAGTCTGTTTACACTACTTTACACCGATAAGCCCAAAAGAAGTGTACATCCACATCATCATCGGCCAAGTTCTCCATCAATGATAAACGTTATCATATACATCACAACCTGACAACTTGGACCTCCATATGATCAAGGTTGTCATGGGTCAATGGCGAGACTCAAGATTAATTTATGCATCCGATCGATATTGAGCAACAGGAGGATAGAGATAGAGGAGAATTAGATCGGACATGGAGGATAAAAGAGTATAAGAGAAAATTGAGAGGAATTAAGCGATCAAGAATACACTAGCTAGGGATAGGGATTTTAAGAGAAATAAGAGAGTATGGATGGCCAAATAATGTTTGGTTTAGTTCTTCAATGGATCAATATGACAAAATGGGTAAATGACATAATATAGATTGTAATCCATAATTGCAATTACCTAAACATAATAAAATATCGAATCAATAATCACGAATAGTACAACACGTTTGATACCCAAATTAAAAACAAGGGTTTAATGTAATGGAAATACCACTACTCCTAAACCTGGAGATCACAGGTTCAAATTTCTTTACTATGAGGCCAAACTATAAAAAAACAACATATATCATCCTTATTAAGAAAATAATAAGTTACCTCCTTATAGGGTGATGAGAGAATTATGTTCGATGTCATACAACGTGTGCAAAAAGACTGACAACGTTCATGCCCTGTTGTAAGGTGGCCATGATGACTGATCCAAAGATGTAACAACAAGTCTTCCACAAAACTAAAATTATTCTGATGTTGAGGTCAATGGAGACGAAAGGACTATAATGGATCAACATATTGAAAGTAATTTTTGTTATGACGACTGAGTAAGAAATTGAACTATAACATTCGTGTTCCAGATATGACTACTTACTTAGTAGGCCATGTGGACTTTCCCAAATTGAAAGGAACATTGAATCACAATATGGAACTATAAACCAATAGCTCAGTGTATATGAACTAACCAAAATTATAAATACAATACAAACAATACCCTTTAAGTGTTGTATATAATCGAGTCAGACTTGTTGTGGGTAAATTCACAAATTTGGATATGTCTTAGTCTCGCACCGCACGCTCATACTTCCAGAAAAGAACATACAGAAGAAACCTTGGAGATTGGTGATGAGATTTCGGGGGTAAGGTATGGGCACACCTCACAAGTAAGGTGGTGAGTGGTCAAACCATTTAAAAAGCAGGGCGTGATGGGTGCCTGCCTGCTATGTTGGTTGGTTTTTGGTGGTAGAGATATGTGTTTGGTTGGCGAGCGACGCAGAGAAGAGAACGGACTGTAGAATAGCGGCCCTCTCTCATCAGTCATCTCTCTCTCTCTTCTGCCTGCCTCTTCAATCTGCTCCTGGCTCACCCCTCAAGAGCTTGAAACTTGAACATAAAGCTAGCTAGCTAGCCACCCAAAGACAGAGAGAAAGAGAAGGGAAAACTTTGAACTAGATACAAACCTCCTTCCTCCCTCACTCTTTGCCCAGTTGCCGCACTCATCCTCATCATCACCACCACCACCACCACCGTCAATTAACCACGAAGAAAATAAAATAATATATATACACCACTTTTCCCCTGCGAGTCCCTCTCTCCCTTTTTCTCCTTCTTCTTCCTCTAATCTACTACTACTGTTCCCATCTCGCTGTCGCTACCGGAAAGGAAAAAGCAAAAACCATTCTTGTCCCATGATGACACCCAAGGTACATCTCTCAATCTCATCTTCTCATTCTTAAAATAAATCTGCACACTCTCTCTTCTGAGCTTTGCTTTTCCAGCAGCCGTACTAATTGACCTCGCCGCGACCCAGGCTAGCGCTTCCTTTCTTTACTTCAACGCTTCCCCTCTCTCTCTCTCTCTCTCCTGTATATATATCAGAAGGAAGTTGCCGCTTTGGTTTTGGTTTTGGTTGGTGTGGGTTTTTTTAGGTCAGATCTCTGAACAAGTACTACTGGGTTGGTGGGTTTTTTTTTAGGAACAAGTACTCTTTCCCTGCCCCTCCTTTGGATCTGACTGCATAAAGAGGAAAAGAACAAAACAACAACAGTACAGATCCATTGATGGGCTCTAGCTAGCTTACTAGGGTTTCTTAGTTAGGGCATTGTTGTACAGGATCATATCTGCAAAGTAAGTAAGAAGATCGATCAGGAGGAGAAGCTAATTAAGCTCAAAGAGGTCAGTAGTTGGTAGAAATTTCACTCCTGTGTTTGGTCATTTTAGCTGCAGGCGGTAAATTCTTTTCTGGGAGATAAGGTTTTCATTGGATTGGTCCATGTGCATATCTATCTATCTCTACCTATCTGCATCCTCGTTTGTATCCATCTCCAATTCCAAATGTGCTTTCAATTCAAACTTCGCCACTCCTCTCCTCCCAGCTAATTTACAAACCCCTCCAATACCAAACCCCTTTCCTGTCTTTTGCAACCCAGAGCCGCAGACCTCGATCTACCTGAAGAAAGAAAGAAAGAAACCCACCCAGCTAGCTTATATATTTCAGTATTTAGTACTCTACATCTATCCAGTACTCGAAAAGGAAGAACACCGATTACTCAAGCTACATGGCTGATCATCACAACCGTTGGTGGGCTGGGAATGTGGCGGCAGCACCTCCACAAGAATCCGCCATGGGACTCATGGACCGCCTCGGATCCGCCGCTCCAATCCGCCGACCCGACCCGCAGCAACAACTCCAACTCCACGGGCTAGTAGAAGAGCCAGATGTCAGCAGCAGGAGGGAGAACCCAGATTCCGGAGGCGGGAACGGCGGAGGAGGCGAAGGAAGCGGCGGCGGAAGCGGCGGCGGCGGACGAGCAGGGGGAGGGACGACGTCGATTCGGAGACCGAGAGGGCGGCCGGCGGGGTCGAAGAACAAGCC